AGATAGATAGATAGATAGATAGATAGATAGATAGATAGATAGATAGAGATAGATAGATATTGTGTGAGTGTGTGTGTGTAATATCTCTATTAAATGTTACATATGTACTATACATAATGATAAATTACCTGGCCTCCATATTGGTTGCTATTGTGATCATATGATGCTCCCTGTATAGAACACACTGATTAATTATAAAACATTTACCTTAATAAGGCACAAAGATACTTTCTTTACCAAGGAATACACCTAAGATGAACTGTGTAAAGTTATTTTAATTTCAGTGTCCTAAATTGTAATTCCAGAGAGCCACTGGAAAATATTACATACACATGTAGACAAGGGTGCAGATAAACCCACTGCAAAAAAAGCTTTTACCTAGCTGTTGTACAAGTACTCCTCAACTTATAACCCAATTGAGCCCAAAATTTCTGCTGTTAAGTGAGACATTTGTTAAGTAAGTTTTGCCCCATTGTACAACCTTACTTGCTACAGTGAATCACTGCAGGTGATAAGTAGTAACCCAGTTGTTAAGTGAATCTGGTTTCCCCATTGACTTTGTGAGAAGATCACAAGATGAAATCTCATGGCCTTAGGACACAACAGTGGCCATATATATGAACTACTTGTCAAGCATCTGAATTTTGATCACATAAACATGGGGATGCTGCAACGGTTATAAGTGTGAAAACAGCAATAAGTAACTTTTTTCAGTGCCGTTGTAACTTTGAATGGTCACTAAATGAAATTATAAGTCAAGGGCTACCTGTATTGGCTGTTGCCACCATATTTTTTAATTATAAAATAATTACCTGAATAAAGCGCAAAGCTGCTTACTATGCTGTAGTCCATGGCAAACATTTTAGATACTTATGTTTTGCCTGTATCTTTAGATAAAAAAGTTACAAAAATAGATATACCGTGTTTCTCCAACAATATGGCCTCCCCCAATAGGAAGTCCCAGCATGTTTTATAGGCATAAAATGAAATTAAGCCCCTCCCCCCAAATTAATGCCTATATTAAACATGCGAAATGGGGGGAAATGGCGGGGGGGCTTGCCATTAGGAAGTACTTTTGTTGCTAATCTGGATATGGTGCTGCCTGCATTGACCTCGGCGTTGGTGGGGCACTTCATATCAGGAGTCCTTCCGCCACCGCCTTGCCACCCTGTCCACGGATGGGTGGGCGCTATCACTGCCTCAGGCGGCCTCTCCTGGTGGCCCCTTTGGGGTTGGGCTGGAGGGACTTGGGAAGGAAGCCAAGCTCGGGTCCGCCTGGCTCTTTCACTTGGCAGGTGGGCGTGCACCCGTGGCTCGCTTTCCCAGCTCTGCCCAGTCCGCCCGGCTCCAGCGCAGCCCTGGCGGGATTAGCAAAGGGCCCGGCGGGGAGGTGCTTGCTGTCTTGGTGAGAGCTCTGCCGCCAGGCAGGAGGGCCCACCTGTCAGCTGCGCTGGGTGCCCCAGGAGAAGCTCTTCGCGCTCTGCCTGGCGGCAGGCAGGGATGGTGGCTGGGCACTTCTCCTGGGGTGGGCCGATCCTGCTCTGTGGCCCCAGGAAATTTGCCTCCCCACATAGGGTTGGGTTGCCCTCTCGGGCAGGGGAAGCTTTGTTGTAGTAGAGCGTTGTTTTTAAAAGAATGGGCTTTGCCTTCAAACAATGCCAGGGAAGGCAGCGACAGGAACGCCTGAAGCCGAGTGTCTCCACCGGGCTCCGGTTGCAGGGAGGAGCCCTGACTGGCCCTGCGTGGCTGCACCAAATGCCCCGTGGCTGTGCCAAACACCGTGGTGTTGTTCTAAATGCTGCGGCAGCACGGGGAGAAGGGAAAGCAATGGTCGTGAAAGGTCTCCCAATACAAAGTGCCCCATCAATGCCGAGATCAACATCCAAGCCATCGCTGCCCGCCAGCCCAAGGATGCAAGGGGGGGGGATTAAGTCACCCCCGAAAAGACGGCCTAGCCGTTTTTTCGGGGGTCAAAAAAAAATAAGGCCCGGCCTTATTTTGTGAGAAACACGGTAGTATATATCTACATCAGTGGTGGGATTCAAATTTTTTTACTACCAGTTCTTTGGGCGTGGCTTGGTGGGCATGGCAGGGGAAGGATACTGTAAAATCTCCAGTCAGAGGTAGTATTTGCCAGTTTTTTGAACTACTCAAAATTTCCGCTACCGGTTCTCAAGAATACCACCTCTGATCTACATATGTAAATGTAGATCTATATTATGTCATTATAAACACACAATGTTATAAAGCAATTTTTACCTGATTGTCATAATGGCTGCTGCTGCTACTGCTACTGCTGCTACTGCTGCTATATGATCCTCCCTGTAAGAAAATGCTTATTAATTATAAAATTATCATTTTAATAAAGCACAACACTGCTTTTTTACATTCAGGAGTAGAAGTAAAATAAGCAAAATATATTTTATTTTATTTACTCTATGTTAAGGTTACAATGATCCCATTTTCTTTGTTGGGGTATTTTCCCACATCATTATAGTTGTGCTTTTAAAGTTGTAGCAACGTTTCGGCAGAATCTCATCTGCCATCATCAGGCTTCTGTATTGTGTTCATCTGTGAGTCAGACTTTCACAGCCGTTTCAGTTTTAAATTTGGGCCTAGCCTACTGCTATGCCAGAATGGTTTTTTCTTTTTAGTTTTAAATTTGGGGCTAGCCTACTGCTGTGCCAGAATGGTTTTTTATATATATAGTAGATATCCATGGCAAATATTTTATATGCTTATCTCTATGTATAGATCAATAAAAATATCACGAATATCCTATATCTCTCTATCTGAATCACTATTAAAACATTATAGTATTTATTTTTACCTGGCTGCCATAATGATTGCTGCTGCTGCTGTTGCTGCTGCTGTTGCTATGTGATCCTCCCTGTAAGAAGATACTTATTATAAAATAATTCAGTTAATGAAGCCCAAATTACTGTATATATCCAGAGGCCAAAAATCTTTATTTACATTCCAAAATGTATTTGAATATACATTATATTTGGAATACAAGTATATTCTAAAATATATAGGATGTGCAATATATATAACCATGGCAAATATTAGAATATAATTTTTACCTGGCTGTTATATTGGTTGACATCATATGGTCTGCCCTGTAAGCAAATATTTATTAATTACAAAATGACTACTTTAATAAAATGCAAAGCAACCTTCTATCTTTAGGAGGAAAGATAGGTTGAATAAAAACAACTGATTTTATGTTATTACAGATTACCATGACAAATGTTATATACATAAACTGCATTAAATAATATTTTACATGGTTGTTCTATTGACTGTTGCCACCAACATAGGATTCTTTCTCTTTAGAAAACACAGTATTTGTAATTTATTTTTATTTATATCCCACATTTATTATAACATATTCATCTTAATGAAGCACACTGTTCCTTGCTATATTCAGAAGCAGAACGGAACTCCCCCCAGATTTTATTTCCTATAAGCTAAATATACATTCATATAGTATATTTAATAGTATATTTTCTATATAGTATACAAAAATAACATGTTTATTGTAGATATACTACATACAATACAGAGGTGGTATTCAGCAGGTTCTGACCAGTTCTGGAGAACTGGTAGCGGAAATTTTGAGAAGTTCAGAGAACCAGAAAATACCACCTCTGACTGGAGAGTTTACAGTATCCTTCCCCTGCCATGCCCACCAAGCCACGCCCACAGAACCAGTTGTTAAAAATGTGAATCCCACCACTGATACAATATATACATATACATGTACACACATGCACACACATGTAGTCCTCACTTACCAACAGCACAAGTAGCGCTGTTTAAAATTTAGTGAATGTTTAAAGTTATGATAGTTGGAAAATACAGTTTTGTGACCAATCCTCACCCTTACAGCCCTCATAGTATCAATGGGATCGCCATTCAGGCACTTTGCAACCCGTGCACATTTACAACTGTGGCAGAGTCCTGTGGTCATGTGATCACCATTTCCAAGCTTCACAACTTGGTTCCAACAAGCAGAAGTAATGGAGAACATAGAAGTGAAATTGCAAGTCACAATCATGTGATGTCACACTTAGCCACCTTGTGATTTATGTCATAATGGAAGCAGGTCATTTATCGTGATGCTTCGCGATATATCGCCACATGATATTTCGCTTAGCGTTTGTGGTGCTTTGCAACAGGGTTGCCGGTACTAATGATGATCGGTAAGCAAGGACTACCTACAAATGTATGTATGTACATGTGTGTGTGTAAATACATTGTAGGATGTATCTATAGCTATATCAGAGGTGGAATTCAGCAGGTTCTGACCAGTTCTGGAAAACCGGGAGTGGAAATTTTGAATAGCTTAGAGAACCAGTAAATACCACCTCTGACTGGAGATTTTACAGTATCCTTCCCCTGCCACACCCACCAAGCCACACCCACAGAACCAGTAGTAAAAAAATTTGAATCCTACCACTGAGCTATATGTATCATTATAAACAAATAAAGTTATAAAGTTGTTTTTACCTGGCTCCCATACGAGCTGCTGCTGCTGCTGCTGCTGCTACTACTGCTGCTGCTACTGCTGCTATGTGATCCTCCCTTTAAGAAAATATTTATTAATTATCACCTTAACAAAGCACAAAACTGCTGCCTATATTCATTGTTTGCCTCAGGAGCCACGTCCTTTATTTTATTTTATATGTGGTAAACATGTCATAAATGTTACAGTATACATACACTAGCAGAGTTTTTATATGGATGCTACATTGGCGGCCGCTGTCACAACCACCATATGTTTCTCCTTGTAAATAAATGACAAAATACACAGAATCCTTGAGGTACAAATGGCTGCTTAATGACTGTTTGAAGTTATGAATGCACCTCAAAATTGTGACCAACAAGAGGCCCTCTGCAATCATGTGACCTGGATTCAGTCACTCCTGAAGCAGTAGCCACAGCCAGGTGGCCTTGACTGCCCTTTGTCACCAGCACAGGTAATTTCTGAGGTCCATATGGTTGATACATTTCTTTTCTTTGGGTCACTTGACCAGAGCTGGTATTCAGCAGGTTCCGACCAGTTCTGGTGAACCGGTAGTGGCAAATACCACCTCTGACTGGCCCCGCCCCCATTTATTCTCTGCCTCCCAAGTCCCAGCTGATCAGCTGGGCCTTCTTTTGTTGCCCTGCACAGGAGAACAGAGCTGGAAAGCAGGTTAGTGGGGTGGGGAGGGAATGGGATTTTGCAGTAACCTTTCCCTGCCACACCTTACCGGTAGTAAAAATTTTCAATCTGCACAATCTGATCAACTAAGATCGAGGATTTTGCATCCAGTGTGCTTCCCCCCGACCTCCCGTGCTGCCAAATAGAGGACTAGAGAAGTGTGAATCTCTTGTTGCTACTCCAGTTGCTTCTTTCGTTCTTCTGGTCTCAAGAACTGGAGTATTCCTGTTAGCTTTGTAAGTACTTTACTGTTTTCTTTTTCATTATAACACTGTACTTGTTTGTAACTACTTTGCAGACTATTGTGCTTGTTTGTAAGTACTTTGCAGACTATTGTGCTTGTTTGTAAGTACTTTGCAGACTATTGTGCTTGTTTGTAAGTACTACAGGATTTTTTTTAGTATTTAGAAGGTGGGTTTTTTTAGCATTGCCTTGGAATTGCTTGCAGAACTACTAGCACGTGTCTCAGAAAGCAGATTTGGCATTGTAAAATTCCTTTGCTGTACAGGTGGTCTTCGATTTATGGCCACAATTGAGCTCAACATTTCTGTTGTTAAGTGAGACATTTGTTAAGGGAACTTTGCCCCATTTTACGACCTTTCTTGCCCCAGTTGTTAAGTGAATCACCGCAGTTATTAAGTCAGCAACACGGTTGTGAAGTGAATCTGGCTTCCCCATTGACTTTGCTTGTCACAAGGTGGCAAAAAGGGACCCCCAGGCACTGCAATGGTCATAAATGTGAGTCAGTTGCCAAGCACCTGAATTTTGATCACATAACCATGGGGATACTGTAACGGTTGTAAGTGTGAAAAATGGCCAGAAGTCACTTTTTTCAGTGATGTTGTAACTTTGAACAGTCACTAAACGAAGGTTTGTAAGTCGAGGACTACCTGTACTGTTGGTTTGCAGGTATTTTGAGATTGCTTGCAGAATGGTCCTTTGTATTCTGCTGTACTGTGTGTTCATTTGCTTTTGCATATGAATGTCATGCCTTTGTTGGAGTCTGATTCTGAAGGGGAGATTGAGAAGCTGACAGGGAGTGGGAATGTGGCTCCGGTGGCTGTGGAAGAAACGGGGAAAGAGCACAGTCTGGCTGGGCATTCAGAGGAAGACTCAGGGCCATCCCCTCTTCATCCTAGGGCATGCAGGGAGGAATGGAGAAGGGAGCAACATGGCTTATGGAAGAGGAAAAAGCCCTGATCCCTTTCATTAGATGCAGCTGGGAGAACAGGATATAAATGGGGCATTTTAAATAGCTCTTTGCTTGAAGCAAACCGTGCATTATCTTGGTTTTGGCATCTTCCCAACTGTGGTTGCTGCATTATCTTGTGGAAGTCGGCAATTTATCATCCTGGCCTGCTGTGTTAATGACTCCAGTGTGGTTTGTGTTGGATTTTTAAATTTCTAATTATCTTTACTTTTGGTTCGGACTGCATTTACTCTCTTCGTAGACTGTTTTTGGAAGAGTTTGATATCAAGCCAAGGATAATTGGACATTGGGGCACAAGTTGGAGGCATTAAAGGGAATTTAATCTACTTTTGTGACTGTGTTATTTTTGTGTCACGCTCTGGTTTAGCACAACGAGGATGAGTGAGTATGGCTGTAGATTGCTGGTAGAACAGGTGATGAGCAGCTGGCAGCGGTTCCCTTTAGAGCAGGGGTGTCAAACTGGTGACCCATGGGCCAGATGTGTCACACGTAGGCCATGCCCACTCCAGCTCCGTGAAGGGGAAAAACATCACGAAACATCACATGATGACAATGTGACTTGGCGAGTTTGACATTCGTGCTCTAGTTCCACGTGGATTCCTGCAAATTTATCCTCCCACCTCAGTTTCTGCCTGGAGTCACTGGAGTCCTCAGAGGCCCCACCTGGGAGTCCTGCAAATTCTGAAGCCTCTTGGTTCATTGAACGATGGCAGAGATCATTTAATGAACCAAAGCAAGGCCAAGCTTCATTCTTTTAATGACCCAATTGATTCACTTAATGAATGTGGTAAAAAAACATTGTAAAAATGAATCCAATTCATTTTATGATCCTAATAGGCAGAGTCCATTAGGGTCATATCTTGGGGACTACCTGCAGCCACCTTAATACAGCACAATATTCAGAACCTGAAGTAAATTGAAAAACTTTGCGTTCTATATGACAACCAGGGGTGGGATTCTACCAGTTCGCACCTATTCGCTAGAACCGGTTATTAACATTCTAAGCAGTTCGGAGAACCGGTTGTTAGAAGAAATTACCGGCCTAATCCTGTAAGGAAGGCAGGAAGGAAACGTTCTGGTGTTGCTTACAGAAACTGCCTCTCCATTAACCCTTATTACATTCTTGGCAGGACTAGACTTCCTGTCTCAGGAACTTCTCTGGAGTTTTTTTCCCCTCCTTTGCTGGTACTTTGCTTATGTGGAGTGACCATTCAAAGTTACAATGGCACTGAAAAAGGTGCCTTCTGACCATTTTTCACACTTATGACTGTTGCAGCATACCCACAGTCATGAGAGGCCAGACGTGCCTCGATGTGAGTGATATTGAGTTGGCCACACCCAGCCAATAACATGACCACTAAGCCATGTCCACCCAGTCACATGACTACCAAGCCACGCCCACCACCTAAGCCACGCCCACAGAACCGGTTGTTAAAAATGTTGAATCCTACCCCTGATGACAACTGTACTATGGATAACCCCAGTAAATATTATATACCTATACTATATTATACAATAGTTCTCAGATGTCATATTGGTTGCTCCTAGAACCTTTTGGTCTTCTTGGTAAAAATATTATTGATTACCAAATAATTATTTTAATTAAGCATATAGCTCCTTGCTATATTCTGTAGTAGAAATAAGCTGAAAATGTTTACTTTCTTTTCCATATGATAATTTAACAGTCATCTATTAATTAAGGGGTTAAATATTATAAAATTGCTATGGTTATTTATCATACATTTGTAAAAATGAAATAAAATGTATAAATAGCTTAGTTCTGCTACTACACCATTTTTGCTACAATTATCTACATAAAATATTATGTAGAATATTCAGGAGCAGAACTAAACTATTTGTTCATTTTATTTCATTTCTACAAGTGTATGATAAATAAACATAGCAAATATTATACGCATGCACTACATCATACAGCCATTTTTACCTGGCTGCTACTGCCACTATATGATCCTCCCTGTAAGAAAATGAGAATTAATTAGAAATCCCGTAATAATCTTGAGAACTTAAAACAATATTTGCTGCATTCAGAAGCCGAAATAATATTTCATTTAATTTTGTCTACCTCTCAAATACAGGTTGTCCGTTACATATGACTTTAATTGAGCCCATCGTTAAATGAATGAAATGGTCGTTAAACAAATCTATTACACAAATTGGGTGTGTTTTGCTGGAAACCAGAAGTAAATGGCAGAAACTGGCAAAAAACGAAGAATATCATGGTCATGTGATCCAGTGGTGGGATTCAAATATTGTTGCCACTGGTTCAGTGGGCGTGGCTTGGTGGGTAGGCTTTGTGCATATGCACACACTTTGCGTGCACGCACACGCCAAATGCACACTTTGCGCAGGCGCAGAGGAGTTTGCGCAGGCACAGAGGCGTTCTAACTTGCCTCCTGCAAGCCTGCACCATCCCGGTCACCTCAGCAGCTGCCACACGGCACTATTCTGTGCTGCGCAAAGTAGCTGCGCTTCAAATTCAGCAGATAAAAATGAATATGGGAGCCTGGGCGGGCGGGCACAACAGCAGAGCGGTGGAGAGAACTGGTTTGGTCTCCACTGCTCATCGCTCCATTCTTTACAGAAAAGTTTTCACATTAATGAGGAGAAAACTGTTTTCTATATTTCTGAATATAAACCTGCCCAGTTATCAATGTTTATATCTCCATGTATATTAATGCATACTATATATACTCAACTAAGAATTTTAGATGCAAAAATACTGAGTTTAAACTGGGTTTATCTTATTCACTGATGGATACTCATTATTCATGAGCATATTACAAGTAATCCTTGTACTTATAACCAGAGTAGAGCCCAATTTTCTTGTTGCTAAGTGAGCTTTGCCTCATTTTATGACCTTTCTTGCCACAGTTGTGAATCACGGCAGTTGTAAAGTTAGTAACATGGCTGTTAAGGGAATCTGGCTTCTCTATTGGCTTTGCTCGTCAGAAGGTCACAAAAAGTGATCACATGACCCCGGGACACTGTAATTGTCATAAAAACATGCCAGATGCCAAACATCTGAATTCTGACCATTTGGCCATGGGGATACTGCAACGGTTGTAAGTTTAAAACAATCCTAAGAAGAGGTGGTATTTAGTGGGTTCTCACCAGTTCTGGAGAACCAGTAGCGGAAATTTTGAGTAGTTCAGAGAACCGGCAAATACCACCTCTGACTGGCCCCGCCCCCATCTATTCTCTGCCTCCTCAGCTGATCGACTGGGTCTTCTTTTGTTGCCCTGCACAGGAGAACGGAGCTGGAAAGCAGATTAGTGGAGTGGGGAGGGAATAAGATGTTGCAGTAACCTTTTCCTGCCACACCCACCACACCACATATCATACCCACCAAGCCACACCATGCACACCAAGCCACGCCCACAGAACTGGTAGTAAAAGTTTTTGAATCGCACCACTGGTCCTAAGTCGCTTTTCAATGATGTTGTAACAGTCACTAAACAAATAGGTGCAAGTCGAAGGCTGCCTATACTGCAATACTTTTTTAAACATACCCGGTATTTTGATTAAAAATCAGGGGTTGATTTATCTGTGTATGAATGTATACATAAGTATATATGGTGTATTTTCTACATCATACACCTGTCCATTTGGATCATTACCACAATATCTATTTTAAAAATTAATATGAACCACTGCTGGCACAGAGGTTAGAATGCAGTATTTCAGGCTAACTCTGTCCACAGCCTGAAGTTTGATCTTCACCGGCTCAAGGTTAACTCAGCCTTCCATCCTTCTGAGGTCAGTAAAATGAGGACCCAGATTGTTGGGGGCAATGTGCTGATTCTGCAACCCATTTAGAGAGGGCTGTAAAGCCCTATGAAGCAGTATATAAGCCTAAGGACTATTGCTATTTATATGTATGTCAAGATTTCTTAATATATTTTAAAGTTATACAATGGATAGATATTTGTGTGTATATCTTTTGAAGCAGACACAATATATTTCAGAGCAGAAATAAGCAGAATGAGTTTTACCTGTCCAAACTGATGGCTGCCCACATATTGTCCATTCTAAACAGAAAACAGTAATAAATCATTATTGTTAAAATTCCACTACTTCCTTACTATATCTGCATTAAGACATTCTTTATGCTTAGGATCGGAAATAAGGATTGAGTTTATTTTTTATGATATATTATTTTTGATATATTTAAGCAATTTTAAAAGATTTTTACATAGATTTTTAAATGTTCTCTTGACCTACCCATATGCTATCTACTCTACTTGTGATAATGAAGAAGAAGAAGAAGAAGAAGAAGAAGAAGAAGAAGAAGAAGAAGA